CTTATTTTCAGTATTAAAAATACTGGATAATAAGTAATTATCAATGATTCTTAGTATGGTATTTCTATAAGGGTTCTTGCTAAATATGGTATGTACCTTTAATTAATAATATTAATAAATGCAACAATATATGTGGATAATGGATTGCATGTCTTGTGAATAATTATATGAGAATAATTGTATGAGAAATATTATAATATGCATGTGTATATACATACGTGTGTGTGTGTGTGTGTGTTTGTGTGTGCGCGTGTGTTCGTGTGTGCGCGTGTGCGTGCGTGCGTGTTCGCGTGTGTGTGCGTGTGTGTGTGTGTGTGTGCGCGTGCGCGTGCCGCGCGTGTGTGCATGTGTGCGTGTGTGCATGTGTGCGTGTGTGTGGGTGTGGGTGTGTGTTATGGTGTGTGTGTGTGTTTGTGTGTGTGCTTTTAAATTCAATTTTCTATAAGGAATAGCATTATATGTAAATAGTGGGTTTAAATTAGCAAAATGTATATATATATGTATCAGGACCTTGAATAAGTTCTCGCTGTTTTCCAACAAATGGTGTTACCAGAACTGCGTGCGTGTAGTTTAAGATGGTAATGCATCTATAAGAAAGTACTATAAACAAGCTTAAAATTTAGTGTATGTCATTTCGCCGAAGAGTAAACAACTTTTTTTTTCATAGTGTTAAACATGTCGAGTTTCGTGCCAAAAAAAGAGTATTTGCGGGGAATTTTACTACTTTATTCAAAAAAAATCTGCAGCTGAAGCACACAGAATTCTTGTTGAGACTTACGGCGACCATGCTCTGTCGGAAACAACATGCAGAGATTGGTTTAGACGCTTCAAAAATAATGATTTTGATGTTGAAGATAACGAATGCTCTGGCGCACCGAAAAAGTTTGAAGACGAACAATTGGAGGCATTACTTCATGAAGACTCATGTCAGCTGAACTTGCAGAATCATTAGGAGTTAATCACACAACAGTTTCAAAACGTTTGAAAGTATTAGGAATGATTCAAAAGCAAGGATATTGGGTGCCGTACGAGTTGAAGCCGAGAGACGTCGAACAGCGTCTTTTCACGTGTGAATAGTTGCTTCAACGGCAGAAAAGGAAAGGTTTTTTGCATCATATCGTGACTGGTGATGAAAAGTGGATACACTACGATAATCCTAAGCGTAGAAGATCGTGGGGTAAGCCCGACCATGCATCAACATCGTCGACAAAGCCAAATATACCGCTATACGATATAATAAGCCGCTATACGAGTAGAGACACGACAAAGTGATTTTACAACATGACAACGCTCGGCCACATGTTACACAACCGGTGAAAATCTACTTGCAAACGCTTAAGTCCTACCCCACCCGCCGTATTCACCAGACATTGCCCCTTCCGATTATCACTTATTCCGATCGATGGCACATGGCCTGAGCAGCACTTCCATTCTTATGAAGATGCCAAAAAATGGGTCGACTCTTGGATAGTCTCAAAAGACGTGTCGTTTTTCCGACGTGGAATTCAAATGCTGCCAGAAAAATGGGAAAAAGTGGTTAGCGATGGACAATACTTTCAGTAACATGTTTTTTACGACTTTTCTTAAATAAAGCATTAATTTTCACGAAAAATCAGCGAGAATTTATTCAAGTTCCTAATATGTGTGTGTGTGCGTGTGCGTGCGCGCGCAAAATATATTTATTTATTTTGGTCATATTTTTTTAGATTCGTACGAACAAGCTTTAAAAAGGGAAAAGAGATTAATGGAGCACAAGAGTAATACTGAATCAGAAATTAATTTGGGCCGTGAATTTAGAAAAAAAGAAGGTTACATATCGCGTTTAAAAAAAAAATGGAATGGAACTTTATTTTGTATTGTGTGAGTTTCTTCCTTAATAATCGTTAATCGTTAATCATTCTTTTAATATTTTACAGACAATAATGATTCGAGTGAGGAGGAACAAGAAGTCAGCGATAATGATTTTATTCCTGAATTAAATAACATATATGAACAAGGTAGGCGATTAATTTTCCTTGATTCCTTATAATACATTCATCTCTCTCTCTCTCTCTCTCTTTCCCCCCCCCCCCTCTTTTCTCTGTCTTTCTCT